GGATAAAGTGGTCCTGACACCAAAAGTTTAACAACTACTGATGTACAGCAAAGCTCACAAAAAGACTGTAATAATCCTGAGCCATCAAGAAAAGGTTACGCATATTCTATTTTCTAAGGAAGGAAACCCAAAAAAGGGTTGGAAAAAAAAAAATCCAACTCTCACACAGGCAGCATCCAGACAGCTAAAACCCAGCACATTAACACCTCCTTTTGATAGCTGATGGCAGATAATAACTCACTTATATGATGCTTTAAGTGTTACAAAATTCTTTGCAATGTAAGTGTTCGCATCCCCATTCTATGGCGGAGAAAACCAGGAACAGCAAGGTAAACTCACCTGCCAATGGACCCTGCCTCCACTGTGCCACCTAGCTGGCCAACACCACTCCTAGTAAAACACTGGACAGCGGTGGTACCAACTGAAAAAGACTGTCTCCAATTCTTTTAACAGATGGAAAATGTAAAGTTTAATATCAGTTGAAATCATTCTTTTACATAGCTTTTTATTCTCAGGAGATAACGGGGCAGCTAGCTGGCACAAGGGATAGTGCTGGCCCTGCAGTCCAGAGCACCGGAGTTCAAATCCAACCTCAGACACCTACTAGCTGTATGGCTCTGGACAAATCATTTCCCTCTGTTTGCCTCAGCTTCCTTATCTGTAAAATAAGCTGAGAAGGAAATGGCAAACCACTCTAGTATGTTTGCCAAGAAAATCCCAAATGGGATCACAAATAGTCAAACGCAACTAAACAACAACCACCAGGAGATAAATGCTTCTTGAATTTGCTTGGAAAATAGGAAGAAAAGAAGATGGGTGAAAGAAGCATTAGCTAATGTTGAGTACAACTAAAGAAAACCTCAGGTTGCTTAAATATATCTTCAACATTTTCACTAGGTTGCCCAAAAGGATAGCCCTATCCCTAGGACCCACAAAGAAAGAGACATTTACCTTTAAGGATGAGTGACTTTTTGTAGAAGAATATCTACTTTACTGAGGTCATTTCTATAATGCACAGAGCACCCTGAGCTATTTATTTGGCTCTGTCTGTAAATAAAAGAGTTATTCATCAGCAACTTTGATTTAAAGCCTGAACAACAGATTGTGTGTCTCTAGAACCAAAGTATTCATGAGAAATGCCTGAATACCAATACCCAAGAATGTTAAACCAATCCAGATTGCTGAAGGAGAAAAACCAATTCAGACTGTTGAAGGAGAAAGAATCGGGCACTTAACACACTTCCAAGAGACCTAGATTAACACCAACATTATTTCTCTTGTTTATTTCAACCTACAAGTAACAGTTCTATTATTAACCATATAGAAACAAAAAGAAAAGAATTAAGTAATGTGGAAATGACATTTATCTTTTCAGCCAAACTCACAGAACTAAATTACTGTCAACAAATCTTTCAATGACAACGTACAAAAACAGTTTATAATTATTTAAGAATGTGGAAAATTGTTTATCAAAGAGCTAAATGAGGGGGGAAATCAGTATATATTGCAATGACAACAAAGTCACACTTTTACATTTTAAAATGCAATTTATCAAGTAAAAGAGGAATCTTTCTAAATAATTAATACTCTTTTACTGGTATCTTTCATCCAAGAAGCTCTTCTACCTGCATGGTGCTCAAATATTCCCATCTTTGCAAGCTTCAGAAGCAAGTCAATTGTTTTCATTTATCCAATGGAAATGAAACGACAAAGAAAAATAAGTGAACTCTAATCTGTCAATAAAGTATTTATACTTCAAGGATCCTAAATTTATCATGAGGAATAGAATATTGTATTTAATACCAACCAATACCAGAAAGATGCAGACAAGTTGGAAATCAAGATGTTATTTTTAAGAAAAAATATATCTCTGTATTGAAGTAAAAATAACTAGTGAACTCAAGGAATAACTCCAAATGACAAAACTCTAGGACTAAAATAAAAAACACAAAGGAAGATTTCTCTGACGATGAAATCCTACATTCACCATAAAGGCAGCCAAATTGGCTGAAAGAGACCCTAAAACCTTTAAAAGGAGACTTCCTAAAAACCTGGTAAAGAGCAATTCTCTACCAACTCAAGAAAGGCTATATGAGCTAACATGCTGCCAACTAAATGAATAACAGAACATCTTCTGGTTATATTCATTAAGTATCTAATTTTGCAAGACAAAAGATACTTGTAGAATTACTAGCCAGTCTTCTCCCCAACACCCCCCCTCAAAAGATTCCTTCAGTAAGTGGCTATTCTAGAAAAACACCAGTAACAGCATAGCATGGGTCTCATTAAAAGTACGTTTTATTGGAGACCAAGTAGCTTCAAAGAGTGTGACAAACCAGTTCACCCCAACTTCCTTGATGTGCTACCTGAATTTAATAAGCATTCTGAGTCAAACAAATCCACATATCTAGAATTTGACTGCCCTGTAAAAGGAGATTGGGGAAAAGAGGAAGGAGGGGGAAAGAGGGGGAGAATGAGTAGAGAACAAAAGAAACTAAGTTATATGGGGAGGACCTAAGTTTCCTATTGGAAAAAAAAGAGGGTAGAACCCCTGAAGTCCCTTCACCCTCCCATTCTCCCTAGATAGCTCACACAATAGTCAATACCTAGTTGGCACCTACTGTGCTATACAACACATGAACAACTTTTCAAATGTGTACAAACACATCCATTGGCTCTCTCAAGTCCCACTCTTAAAAGCAGGAAGTTATTTCAAAATTAAAAAAGAAGTTATCAAGGGCCAAAACGATGTGGAACTCTTATTTCCAGTAAAATCGGTACCGTTTGCTAACACAACTCTCAGAATTAAACGTGAGTGGAGTCACATCAATTTTCCAGGTACATCCCACTTTGAAACAGTTTCCTGGTGTTAGGTCTGATGAGAAACTCTTGATGCAACAGCCAAGTATGTAGACCAGTTTGTCCACTCTGCAAGCTGCTACAGTAACTGCTAAAAACACATCGAAAACGTCAATGAGTAACAGAAATTAGTTGTTATCTACCTAGAATCGGAAAATACTGCAGAAAGTGATGATGCCCAGAACGAAGATTTGAAAAAAGGATTTTTTTTTGAAAAAGCCAATAGGTATTTTAAAAGCACTACTTCACAACAGAGAATAAGTTTAATAAATATAACTTGCTCTTCTCCAGGTGTTAAGACAAAATTGGACATCAATACTACCTGCCATCTGACTTTTAGACTGGAGTGACACATTCCAGTCTTACCTTTTGGAAGGCAAAATTGGAATATCTTCCTTGGAGGGACAGGAACTTCCTCCCACCACCAAAAAGAAGAAGAGGTATTTTAAGTGTTTTGACTTTCACTACAACAATATGCTAAACAATATGGAGCACTACCGCTACAGAAGCTAAGCTCTGTGAAGGCAAGAGCTGTCTCCCAATGTGTCCCTTTGCACTCCTCCATAAATAACTTTTGAGTCCTTTTTATCTCTGTATCCCAGCACTCAGTCACAGACCATAATTGTCCACTGGATAAATTTCGGGGCCAATGAGGAGGAAGGACAGCGTGCATTCTCTTATCTGGGGGTTGTTCACCTTACTTGGGTCTGGGACGCTGAAGCAAGCCCGGTAATTCCCACAGACCTCCTCTCGGGTTTTTAGATGCATGTAACAAAATTTACAGGATTACAAGAGAAACTAATTACTATACCACACAGCTATCAAATGATTTTTAAAAAAATCAAACAAGTTCATGGACCCCAGCTTAAAAACCCTCTTCCAGGGGAAAGGCTCCTATATATACTGGGCAAGGATGAAGGAGAAGCGAGGATGAAACCAGGCCAGGCTGAGCACCTGAGTTCAAATCCCAACTCCGCCACTTTGTCATGAGACCTTAGGCCAGTGACCTCCCCGCCCCGGGCCTCGACTTCCTCGGGTCGGCCTAGGGGCCCTCGGGCACCTTCTGCTTCCAAATCTGGGGCTGTTTTCTACCCTTCATCTCACATGTGTCCCTGTACTTCCAGGGCCTCAGTTTCCTCAGCGGCTAAAGGGAAAACGGATCTAGACTTGAACTCTAAGGTCCCTTCCAGCCTTCACTCGGACTCTAGGATCCACTTAACGCCTTGGTGAAGTTGGGCACGTCCCCCTGAGGCCCCCAGGGTGAATCGGGGGACCTGAGTGCGAATCCCATCGTGTTACCTGTGAGGGCCCAGAGCTGAGTTCCCGCTTAGCGGCCTTGGGCAAGTCATCAAACCTCCCTAGGACCCAGGGTCCTCCTAGGCTCCTCCTCTACCTGGGTGACCTTGGACTAGAGGCGGCCGGCGGTCCAGTGGGCAGAGTCGGGGAGACCTGAGTTCAAATCCGGCTCAGACACGCACGAGCTGGGTGACCCTGGGCGAGTCACTCGACGCCTCTGCCTGCCTCAGTGTCCCCATCTGTAAAAGGGGGTCGTCAGTCGGGAGACTGTGAGGACGGAGCGGGACAACCGCCGGACGGCAGGGTCCCCGAGCCCCCCCCCCCCGGCCTGACTCTGGGGGAAGCACCTTGGGCAAGCGCCAACGGAACCTGGTCCTCAGTTTCCCCCTCGATAACAGGGGAGAGGGCCTGCCGGGGGGCCGGGGGGGAGGACCTCCGCCCACCGGCGGCGTGACCTTGGGCCGGTGCCGGCCCCCCCGCCCGCCGGCCTCAGTTTCCCCGCCCACCCCCGGCGGCCGCAGCGCCGGGCGGGGCTCGCTCCCGGGCCCGGCTCGGCCCAGCTGCGGCCGCGGGCCCCACCGCCGCCCCCTCCCCGGCGGAGCGGCAGGACGGGAGCGGGCAGCGCTCGGACGGAGGCCGCCGCGGCGGCCCCGGGCGCCTGACGTGTCCCTCGGCCGCCAGCCCGAGGCGAGCCCGGGGCTGCCGGGACGGCCTGGGCGCGGGCCCGGCGGCGGCGAGGGCGGCGGCGGCGGGGCGGGCGCGGACCTGGGCTCCGGGCTCCAGGCGGCGGCGGCGGGGGGCGCCCGGCAGGGCCCCGGGCGGCGGAGAGGGCGGGCGCCGGTTACCTGCGGTCCCGGACGGAGAGTCTCTCGGAGTCCCAGTCAGCCCTCAGCCCCGACAACACAAGATGGCCGCCACGTCGCCGCGCGCCGGCACGTGACGTGACGCGGCGCAACGCGACGCGATGCAAAGCGACGGGACGGGAACGGAATCACCGCCCCCTCCCCGCTTGCCTTCAGTGGCAAAGCGCGCATGCCCCGCAGACGCACTGGCGCCCCAGCCGCCGAGGCGGCCATCTTCGTAGTTCCATGCCCGCTCTCGAGACAGGTGACTCACGCTCCGGGGAGCCAATCCGGATTCAGCAAGCCATGCCTGGAGCCGCGCTGGAGCTGCCGGCAACTCCGGGCTGGCCGTTTTACAGAGGGGGAAACTAAGGCACGGGGAAGGGGGCGGGCCTAGCAAAAGCCATCCAGTCCAACCCCCTTCATTTTACAGACGAGGAAACTGAGGCACAGAGAGATCAAGTGTTGCCCAGGGTCATTTAGGTAGTAAGCTCCAGAGACAAGTTTGAAATCCAGGTTCCGAGACTCCAGAGTCTCTATCCCACCCCACCCCCACCACCCCTTTGTTGACTAATTTATGAATTATAAATTTTAACTAATTAGAAAATCACACCCTTTAAAGCAGGGTAGAAGTGAGAGCTGAACTCGAGTTATCTGTAGAGAAACTGAGGCTCAGAGTGTCACAGATAAGTGACTTGTCATTATCACAGCAGAGGGGAACCAGGAACTCAGACCTCTCCTGACTCAACTGTCTGACGCTCTTTCCATTTCCCTTCCTCTAGAGGAGCCTGGCAGCTAGAGCGGACGCTTCCTAGCTGTGTGACCCTGGGCAAGTCACTTCCCCGTTTGCCTAAGAAGGAAATGGCGAACCAGTCCAGCATCCTTGCCAAGAAAACCCCAGATGGGTTACCAATGTCCCCCTGGACTAAACAGTAACAAGAGGAGCCTGGTAACTCAGGGCACCTAGGTGCCAACGGAGATCCTGTTCACCAATTACTCTGCCAGTCAAGCATTTATTAAGCACCTACTGTGGACGAGCTAGCTGACAAGCATTTATTTACTCCCTCTCCTGCCAGGCGCAATGCTGAGTGCTAAGGGTATGAATAAGAACAAAACAGGCCTGCCCTCGAGAACCTGAAGTTCCCTCTGGGTGACACGAAGCAAACAGATACAAGGTAATTCTGGTGGAGAAGCAGCTGGAGATGGGCAAAAGGCTTCGTGCAGGAGAGTCCTTGAAGACTTGCTACCTTTGACTGGCAGTTCCAACTCTTATTATTCAGGGGCAAACTTTATGGTCTGGGAACTTCCCAGGTTCTCCTTTGTTATTCACTTTATCACTTTCCCTTTTAAAAAGTATTCGTGTTTCTTTGATGCCTTTTTTTTTTACATCAAGTAATTTGCAGATACTACCCTCATCTCCCCCTCACCTGCACCCCCCCCCCCGTGAACCTTATTTTTCTTAAATTTTATTTTTAATACATGGAATAAAACAAGCATTTCTATAACATAGTGCAATAAAAGAGTATTGCATATGAAACCGTGCATCTACTATGCTCGATTTGCTATTCCTTTAAAATATACAACAAAATTATGTAAATTTTTTTCTTCCCTCCCACCAGTTGGCTACCATTAAGTATATATGTATATGATGTATATTATATATACTTATCTGTATGTATAGATAAGTACATATCATATACTTATATGTAGTATATGTAGAATATATATTAAGTATATATGTGGATATAAGTATCTACATATATACTTAATACATACTCTATGTGTTCTATACTATCATATTATCTATATATTAATATACCTATATTAATATTAATTAATAAATAAGTAATCTATATATTGATATGTCTATATATTCCATATATACTATATACACCTATACCTACATAAATATACACCTATATACATAGGTATTTTTATATATATAGAATATATAGATATACATTAACATATAGATAATATGATAGAATATATAGATACATAGAATATATATAAAGTGTGTATGTAGATATAAGTATCTATTCAGTACACATTCGTTAAGTAGCCTAGTCAGGATTTGAACCCAGGACCTTTGATTCTAAGTTTTGCCCTATCTCTACCACACCCTTTCATTTCACAAAAACCAATAATGCAATAAATACTCAAAATAAAACTGGTGATTTGTATTGTGTAAAAACCTGAGTTTTTTGTTTTGTTTTTGATGAGATTGGACCAAATGAATTAACAAAGAACAAGCAAGCTTCCATGGAGACCCCGTTCTCTCCTCTCAGCGTTGGTGATTTGTCCCTCCTCATCAGAAGCTCCTGGAGAAGCCCGACTGTTTTGCCTTTCTTTGTATTTCTGGCTATTACAACGGTTGGATAAACGTCTGTTGACTGACTGCCTGACTTCATCTTACCTCTTTCCGAGGTCTTTCCAGTTTCCTTTTAAAGGCGACTCAACGTCCCATAGCATACTACCATTTCTTCTGCCGTTGTCTCGTGGAGAATCTTTTAACAGCACCTTAGAAAAGGACCTTGGTGCCCATCCCCTGGGACCCATGGGTCTCCTTGCTAGGCTACCCTCAGAGCAGTCCTTTTTGTGGGAGCAAAGAATTGGAACCAAAGCAGGGACCCCTCAGGTGGGGAATGGCTGACCGAATTGTGGCAAGCGAGCCCTTGTGTTTTATTCAGTCGTTTTCAGTCTTGTCCGACTCTCCGTGACCCCATTTGGGGTTTCCTTGGCAGAGATACTGAAACAGATTTCCATTTCCTTCTCTAGCTCATTTTACGGATCAGGAAACTGAGGCAAATAGAGGTTAAATGACTTGCCCAAGGTCACACAGCCAGTAAGTGTCTGAGGCCAGATTTCGACTCAAAGTGGAGTCTTCCTGGCTCCAGGCCAGGTACTCTGTGCACTATGGCGCCACCTAGCAGCCCAGAGTGAGCATAATGGAATGTTACTAGGTCAGTCAAAATGATGACTCCGGAGAATTCGAGGAAACATGGGAAGACATATGTAATGATATAAAGAGAAGGAAGGGAGGAAGGAAGGAAGGAAGGAAGGAAGGAAGGAAGGAAGGAAGGAAGGAAGGAAGGAAGGAAGGAAGGAAGGAAGGAAGGAAGGAAGGAAGGAAGGAAGGAAGGAGGAAGGAAGGAAGGAAGGGAGGGAGGAGGAGGGAGGGAGGGAGGAGAGGAAGGGAGGAAGGAAGGAAGGAAAAGGAAGGAAGGGAGGAGGGAGAAAAGAAGGAGGAAGGAAGGAAGGGGAAAGGAAAGGAGGGAGGGAGAAGAGGGAGGGAGGGAGGAAGAAGGAGGAAGTAAGGGAGAAAGGAAAGAAGAAAGGGAGGAAGGAAGAAGGAGGGAGAGAGGAAAAAACATTTTTAACGCGTCAATATTAACAAATTAACATTAACAACTACAAGCACTGGTGATACAAATCACAAAGCAGATTGTGCCTGGCCTTAAGATCACCTTTTAGTAGGAGGAGACAAAAGACAAAGGGGAATGGAGACCCCCTCTTGGTTTCAGCAGTTTTGGGGATGGGGAGCAGAGAGGTAGGGGAGCAGCAGGACACACCCTTTCCAGGGGCAATAGCAGGATTAATAATAGTAATAATAATAACACAACAGCCACAGCATATGTACTATGCCTTAAGATTTTCAGAGTGCTTTACAAATCTCATCTCATTTTATCCTCACAATATCCCTAGGAGGTAGATGCTATTATTATCCCCATTTTATAGAGAAGGAAACGGAGGCAAACAGCCAGAGACTTGCCTAGAGGGTCTTCCTGGCTCCAGGCCAGGCACTCCATATGCTACAAGAATAAACCAAAACCGAATAGCACCACAATCATAATGCCTGAACTGGCCTCAGAAAAGAGTGGAGAAAATTTACGGAGCTTCCTGAAGCCTGGTTTGCAGAGGTGGGGGACTTAGGGTGCTGAATGGTGCATGTTCTCCCTTTCTCAACATTGGCTGGTTGAGCCCAATTGCTTCTTTTTTTCTTTCCTTTCTTATCTTTGCAAGGAGGGATGACCTGGCCAGCTGGCTAGGGGAAAGGTCATGAATATATTCAGAAATAAATGTGTTCAAACAACAAAAAGGTATGAACTAAAATATAAAAATAAAAACAAAGTACATCTTTTTAAAAGGAAAAGAAAACAGAAGACGCAGACTGAGGCCCCTGAATCAAGTTCCACTGGTGATTCTGTCTGGTGCCAGGATCCTTTCTTCAAGGCCCCATCTGGCCACTTTTTCCTATCTTCTGCTCTTTTGGGGGGGGGCGGGGGGAGGAGTGGTGGTTTGCCAAGTGAACCATCCTGCCTAAAGGAGGCTCATTCTACTTCTTTCCATATATAAATACCTACCAAGGTAAATATTGACATAAAATAACTCCTGTTTCCAGCTTGCTTGATACTATTTTTTTTTCCTTCTCTCTTTTCTTCTCCTGCGGTGATTTCATTGGTGTAAGGAGCTCCTAGAGGGGGAACCCCCCACCCCCTTGCAGATCAGCAGCCCAGGGCCCTGGAAGGGCCGGTGGTTTGCCAAAGGTTACACAATCAGCAAGTGTCCAAGATTGGACTGGAATCTGGCCCCTGACTCAGACCCATTTTCTCAGGACTGTAGAGTCCCTGCCTCTCTGTTTCATGCAGCTTCATCCAAGCTTGGCAGGGCTTCCACTTCTGAAAGAGAGCTGGAAAACAGGTGCTGAGTCCCCAGATCAAAGACAAACTTTTCTCCTAACAACACAGGGTGTGAAATTTGGCCTGTCCTCTTCTGAGATGCCATTAGCCCAAGTGCAAAGGCCCTCAGATGCCATCTTGCATCTAAACAACAACCAATCCCCTCGAACATATTTCCGACAATAATCTACATGATCCCCTAAGACTTCTTTCTCTAATCAATAAACGCCCGTGGCTCCCTCTCGCTCCAGGATCAATTATAAAATCCTCTGTTAAAGCTCTTCATAACTTGTTCCCTTCCTGCTTTTCCAGTCTGCTCACACCTTACTCCCCTGGCCTACTAAGCCATCCAGGAACACCAGCCTCCTTGTGCTTTGTAGAACATGACACCCCATTTCCTGACTCTGGGCATTTTGATCAGCTGT